AGGCGCTGGGACCGAGCAACGGGAGCGCACCCCGCCGTGGGGATTCGAACCGCCGACCTTTCAATCAGCAAGCCCTAGGCGCTGAGGCTTTTACCCACAGCGCCACCCGCGTCCAGGTTGATTAGGGCCCTTAAATTCTGGTGAATCAATGGCGCATCATCAACATGACCAATCTCAGTAGTGGGCTTGTGGATTTCAAACATTTTCTCCTTGGGTGAGCTGGGCTGGAACCTGGTCCAGGTCAGGGACCAGAGGACAGTGGCAGAGGAAGTGCAGATATTTTAAAGTGTTAAAAGATAATTCAGGTGGCTGGAGATGAAAGGCACTGTTAATTGTGGCACAGGCTAAAGGGAGTGTGCACAACAGAGTATGTAAAAGCAGCCCCTACAACTTCCACTGCTGGGCATAATAGGTGCATAAAGATCCAAGCAGCTTCTGCAGAAGAGACACACACAATCCATTTTCACCCACTGTGGCTGTTCTACTGTGTGCACAAAGCACACCGTAACCCCTGGGTGTGATGCATATACCTCAGAGATATTGCGGGTTCGGTTCCGCCGCAATGAACTGAATATTGCAATAGAGTGAGTCTCACACACATTTTTGTGTTTCCCAATGCATATAAGTTATGTTTACACTTTACTGTAGTCTATAGGGGTGGAAAGGAGGAAAACCCGGCTCCAGATCCACTGGAGAAGAGGAGTAGGGGTGGTGGATGGACACACGACAGGGCAGGCAACCTGCAGCTGCACCCATGTCCTTGTAAGAAGCTGTATCTGCAAACTACAATAAAGCAAAACACAATAAAATGAGGTGTGCCTGTACTGGCCTGGCAGAGCCCAGATTAACAGCAACCCTGCTTGGTTTTCTAAATTCCTATCTCTGCTTTTTTAATGAAACACAGAGATGGGCTAGGAAGGAGCAGCACACCGAAATCCTTGCTGATTTTCATACAGACGCACATAGAAATTGTTGGAAGTTTGGGTGCAATTCAGCTTGCTGGGAGGGGTTTGCATGGGTGAAGACTCCAAACCATCCCCGTGACTATCCCCACACTGACTTTTCTTTATCTCTCCGATGTTTAGACTGATATGTCTTAGGTTGCATCCTGTTTATAGCTTCCTGCTCCTCCTCCCATTCTTTCTCTGGACCTCAAGACAAGAGGTCATCTTGGATCTATCTTCTGAGAACAAAGGGGCAAGCATGGGTGCTTTGCTTCTCCAAACAGACAGTTAGCTAGGGCTATAGAATTCTTTCCTATCCAGAATGTACTTCCTTTAATAAACACAAACTTCCTTATTTTATACAAAGTGTCATTCTGAATGCTGTTCAACTGAGGGTGTGCTCCAAGTAAAGGATTCATTTAACTAATATTAACTGCTGCTGCTGCATATAAACTCTATCTATTAACAGAAATGACACACTGGCCCTGGGCACAGCAGCTCAGCGGTACAGTTCTGTGAGGTTCTGGTCCCTGTTTTCTTTGCGTGGGTCCAGGGAACACCCTTATTAGCTTCTCCATGACAGGAATTCACAGATGGATACCACATTGCTCTTTCCCAGTCTGCTCACGCCTGGAGTCTCACCAGGAACACCACCAGCCTTTAACTACCTTGCCCTTTAAGTGTCCACGGATTTACAGCGCGGTTATGACTGCTTTGTACCTGGTAAAAGAGCCTCCGAAAAGCTGGGCTGGAATCCTGGCTGAGGTCTTCGACAGCGATGTGGGCCAGGCAATGCACGAGAAGCAGGATAAAACTGCCCACGCAACTCAGGCACTCCCTTAGAATGAACAGTTTTGTTGCCAGAGGTCTAAGGAAGGCGAAAAGGCAATATTAAAATAAATAGATAAATAAATAAATAAATAAATAAATACTGAACACATGAGAGAGACTGAGGACTGATGCTTCTAGCTCCAGGTCCTTCGCCTTCAGGCTTCTGATACTTATAAAGTTCTCCAATCTTCTGTGCCTCTCTCTCTCTCTCTCTCTCTCTCTCTCTCCTTTCTCAGAATTCACAAGAAGAGCCTGACTCCAAGACCATCTGGCTCAGTGCTCTCTCCTCCCACTGGCCAACCAGATACCCATTATGGGAAGCCTGCAAGCAGGAGGTGGCCACAATTGCACTGTCTCACCTGTGTCCCCCGGTGACTGGTTTTCAGAGGCACACTGTCTCCAATACCGGAGGAGGTGTCAGGGACTGGACTGAAGAGGAATGGTGGGAGCTGCAATCTTCCCTTTCTGAACCTTCCCAATGGCAGGAGGCAGTATTGATTTAGAACAGTGGTTTGCAGAGGGGCATAGTCCAGAGGGGAAAAGCTGGGAAATACTGGGTGAGGAACAGCTAGAAGAGGAAACAGCAGGAGAGAGACACTGTCTTTAGAATGCTTTCCTGACCTCCCTTCACCTAAGACTAGACAGGCTATGAGAGTGATAGAACAAAAAGTGCTGCGGCAACAAGCTCAGATTACCCAACTGTGGCGTTTGCCCTCCTAAGTGTGTGACATCATACTGGGTTCATAAGGAAAGGGTTAACTAATTGTAAAATGACTAACCAATGGGAACCCAAGAGGCAGAGTTAACTGTGGTATAAGGTTTAAGCACAGAGGGGTTTTTTTTGAGAGAGAGAGAGAGTTAGAGTTAAAGTGGTTGAGAAGACAGTCTGGAGTTAGAAGAGACAGAGAGGATAGGTGTGAGGGTTGGGCTAGTCTGATGTGAGAGAGTGAGAGAATTTGTTAAGAGGAGTCAGTCAAACCGTTGAGATAATCAGTCAGAAGGTATTAGGAAGGTATGGGCCGGTAAAGAAACTAAAGTTAAGATACTGACAGGAATATTATCTGAGAAACCATAAACTTGTTAATGTTTATAAAATAAACTTGTTTATTTTGGTTCATTTTTAACAACTGTCTGGACTCAGTATTTTACCCTAGAGTAACTGGTTGGTGGCAGCGGGGAAGTGATCACAGTGGTGGCACAGGGATCAAAAGACCGTTAAACGTCTGGGGACCCTGTGTGATCGCCACACCAACATAGGAGTGGCGTAGATTAATGGGGATGGAGAGGGTGAACCTTTACTGGGAGCAATGTCCCTTTTTAGAGAGAGATGCATTCCTTTGTCTCTCGCTGTGATTATTAAAGAACTTACCTGGTAAGAACGCTCCTTTCGTTTGATCTGCTTACTTACTGCCACCAGGAGAGGGATCTGATTCCCCAAAGCCTCACAGGAGGACACCACCACTACAACTAGCAACCAGTGATATCATCCAGGGATTTTCTAAGGTAAAGGTAAAGGTACCCCTGCCCGTACGGGCCAGTATTGACAGACTCTAGGGTTGTGCGCCCATCTCACTCAAGAGGCCGGAGACCAGCGCTGTCCGGAGACACTTCCGGGTCACGTGGCCAGCGTGACATCGCTGCTCTGGCGCGCCAGCGCAGCACACGGAACGCCATTTACCTTCCCGCTTGTAAGCGGTCCCTATTTATCTACTTGCACCTGGGGGTGCTTTCGAACTGCTAGGTTGGCAGGCGCTGGGAGCGTACCCCGCCGCGGGGATTCGAACCGCCGACCTTTAGATCGGCAAGCCCTAGGCGCTGAGGCTTTTACCCACAGCGCCACCCGCGTCCAGGGATTTCTAATACCCTTTTGAAGCTTTCTAATTTGCTGGCTAACATTACCTCTAGTGGGAGTGAATTCCATACTTTAAGGAGTGGAGAAACTTTTTGGTGCTGGGACCTGCACTCTGTATTTGGTCCATCCTAAGGGCCACCTTTGACAGATAGGCAGAACAACCCACATGTCAACTACAGTATATCAATAATGTGACACCACATGACTGACAGGCCAGTTGTCCCTCCCACATGTCAAAATTCATTGTGGGGTGCTTCCAAGTGCCTGGTAGTCAGAGTCCCATGGCCAGATAGAGAGTCTTGGACACTTATCCTTTGGGTCTGAGGTTCCCACACCTGCCCTAGATGGACCAATGGCCGACAT